ATCGGTGTCTAGGTACTTTTGTTGCACCTGAGGTACAAACCTAGGTACTTTAATTTCTCAGTATCTGTATCTGTATCTTAGGTACATTTTCCAGTAACTTGTAACTAAGTGAAGTTACTTTTTACAGGTACTTTCTATTCACTTCGTCAAAATCGTAGAAAATACAATATAACATATAACTGAAAATAAATTATAATTACAGTCGTAAAGCACGTGGTGTTTCCACTCAATAAATCAAACTCAAATTTTGCACTTCACAAAACTGAACATGTTTGTGAAGAAAAAAAATTGGGTGTACGATTAACCCTCGCCTTTAAGAGTTGAAGGCGATAGGGTTATCGGGCCCCGTTCGCATGGCCTTCTCAATCGCTTCTCATGCTCTTGGGTCACACAACGACCTAGTTTTTATGATACAACACTCCCGGCGCCATTGAGGAGCTTTTGCCAGTGCTTTGGATGCCATTTTACCCCGCAAGGTTTATTTATGTGTTTGCTCGGCACGCGCTAACAACACTCGATGCGATAATGCCTTCACCCTGACACAAACAGACATCGAGGCACTCTAATGACGTCAGGATCGCAGTGCCATTCCCAAGCCCTCCGTTGCCTAGTCGGTATCATGTCTGGCTCGCAGCCGAAGGGTCGTGGGTGCAATCCTGCGTAAATTCTTCAAATGTTTCTTTAAGGCAAAAGAATCAGTTTATTAAGTGGGATCATTTGAAACATGCTGCGACCATTAATTCGTATGTCTCTAACCACCTTCATTCCACGCGTGACGTCACGCTTCACATGAGCGTTGTGGGTTGTTTGAAATTTCCGCGCGAAGTCATGTGGCTGTGACGTCACGACCCTATCGACCATTCAGGAATTTTCCGTCACGCCACCGACACCACCGACATCCGACGGATTTTCTGTGACACGAGCTCCTAAACGCGCTCGCGTTACAATATTCTCTTCCTTCCTAAAAACGAAAGAAAAAACGTGAAAGCTTGAAGACTTTCGCGCGTCGTTGCGTTGCGAAGGTTAGGTGCGTGTGCACTCGACTCTTCGTTTCTCCATGCGGCCGACGTCTTCAGGGCTCGCGATGGCTTCGATGCCAGTGCTGGCGCTGAAGGGCAAGCCACGTCAACAAGCGAGTTTGAGCGGGACGTCTTAAACAGTCGAAGCTGTGTCCTCGGTGAGCCAATTGGATCGTGAGAGTAAGGCACGTGAGGACTCCACTCCGATCTGGACATCTGTGCAGCGCCGTCACGTGCCTCGCTCCAGTGACCTTATTGGCCCCCCGGGCCCTTCTGTTTTGCCATGTGCCAACTTCTACCGAGTTGGAGGCTCCTCCGGTGGCTGTTTCTCGCCGACTGTACAGTACACCAAACTTGCTCCGACAAGAAGTCTGGACTGTTTCAAGCACATGCCGCTGCTGAAAAGCGTCTTCTTAAAATTCAAGACAGGGCTTCCAGCGGCGGTGAAGCGCGTTTTTAGCATAGGAGGAACAATTGCTACCAAACTGCGATCGAAGATGTAGGATGAACATTTCGAAGAGTCCTGATTCTGAGGTCAAATCGAGCACTCAAGTGAAAAATGGCAAAGTCTTCGAAGGCTCTGGTGAGCGTTTTGCGTTACTTCTCCCATTGACACCAATAAAGCACGTTTATCAAACTTGTTTTTGTTTACATCTCAGTATACAAAGGATTTATTCCAATAATAATGTGACAAATTTGAGAAAAATACTTTACGTGAAAATAAAAAAAGTACCTTTGAAGTAACTCTACCTGTACCTAGGTACATTTTTAAGCAAGTAGCTAGATACGCACCTAGGTACATTTTCGTATGAGTAACTGTAACTGTATCTTAGGTACATTTTTGAAGTAACTTTTACAACCCTGTTCTTCACGCAGTGCGCCTTGACCCAGCGTGTGCAGACCCGAATCGCACAGTTCTATGATGGGGGTGTTGAACGCTTAATCTTGGTACCCCGTTGCTTAACCTTAGGAATATTGCAGATATGATTCCACGCGCACACACACAAAAAACAAATAATCATAAAATTAAATCTATTATATAAATGCGTATTCGTTTCCTTGGAAATATCACTGAATCGTAGCTCAAAACATCATTATAAGGAGTCCATGTGATACAGCACGAAGTTACGATAGTATTTTGATTGCAGGTAAAAAATAAAGACTGCATGAATATCTACACTAGCATACTCACACGAGCGTAAAAGGAAATGACCGTTGTGTCGCCGCGGTGCAAACGCGCGAAATATAACGTATTAAAAGAAAAACAAACTATTCCACGAAAACCCAGAACATTTTCCTTTTATAATAACAATAATAATAATACTGACAAATAAATTCAGTACTTGCACATATTTACTTTGTTATTCTGTGCGGTTATTTTTTTTTTCTTAGGTATCAGGATTACTATCAATATCGCAGCACTGATTGGGAGCTCGCGTCAGTCTAATGGCTGATGTTCTCTCTTTCGAGAATTATGTAAAACAAGCTACAGTCTTCCAGTGGAATGCTAGAGGGCTACGTTCTCGTCTTTCTGACTTCAGGCAGTTTATTTTCAAATATAAGTTCCCAATTTTAGCAGTTAGCGAGTCACGTGTTCCGCCAGATTTTAGACTTTCTGAATATCAAGTTTTTCAATCAAATCGAGACTCTGGCACTAGTCGGGTTTTACAGCGCAACTCTTCGGCGTCCGTTTCCAGCATGAGCGGCGTCGGCGTCGGCGTCGCCGTCGCCGTAACTGTAAGGTCACGTGACCCCCAGGTCACGTGACCCCCTGGTCATTAGACCCCCAGGTCACGTGACCTGTGGGGCCACGGACGGAGGAGGGGTCTACCCTTCCCTCCTCCTCCTCAAGAGCTGCGCTCCAATTCGGCGTTACAGGGAGTTCTAAACGGTTTTCATTTTTTTGTTTTTTCGCTCATGTAGGCTGTTTACACCCGATTGAAGGCTGATGCAAAGTGCAGAAGCGCTAGGCAATGTAACATCTGCGTTTCGCTGATGAATCATAAAGACAACGGTGCTAAAACGCAAAGGCGAACGCTTGCTTACTTTACGCTGTGTCGTTATTATCACGCGACTCTCACATTTCGAGAAACATTCTCGAGATGTAGACGAATGGATAAAAGCGGGCTCTTCTTGGCTGCTAACCTGAACCTGTTGGCGAGTTTAACAGTCGCGCTTGCTCGCTTCCCAACAGAATGGGTTCGCGCAGCGCAGCGGGAGAGGCTTTTGTGTTTGTAGCCAATACTGCAAGCCACCACATTTATGAGCACTCACCATATTCTATTGCGACTAAGCATCAAATTTAACTCTCTGTGACCGCGCTACCAGAAGGATCACATTAAAATGCCGCTGACATTTATTTATACATTTTCTCTGAAGGGCCGATGAGTATATATGCTCAAGTATGTAATATATTTGTTAGTATAATTATTGCGATTATAAAAGGAAAATGTTTCGGCTTTCCGCAGAATAGTGTTTACTTTAATACGTTATATTTTGCGTATTTGCACCGCGGCGACACGCCGGTCATTTCCTTTTACGCTTTTGTGCCTGGCATACGCTTGAGTGATATGCTATACTTTGTTTCACCTTATGATGTACCGTAGCGAAGGCTAGAAGCGCGAGCTCATAGCGTCGGCAGCTGTCCTTAATGCACGAGAGCCTGTGCCGACGAGATGTACCCTAGAGCAAGGAGCTCGAGCCTGTATAGCCTTTCCTGCGGTACCTCATAAGGTGAAGTAGAGTATAGTGTAGATCTTCAGGGTAGTTTTTCTTATTGCTCCTACGTTTCAGGGCTACTATGAATGTCATTCACCAACTCGCCTGCGTTTTTTTTTTTTGTTGTTTTTTTATTTACTATCTGAGTGATGGTGACTGGACATCGCCGTTGTTCTGTGCGAGTGAAGCTGCGATGCTAGCCAACATCAAGCTCCGAAAAAAATCACATAAAATAATAGATGCTCGCTCATGTTAAATACAGATATCATGAGCCCTTTATGACATTGTGGAAAGTGTCATATATATAAAAAAGGTTAAGGAGCCCAGTAAAAGCACACAACACTAACGCGCGGGTGCATTTTTTAGGAGCCTGAATAGAACACGAAAAATCCAAGGCTATTTAAACGTTGGCTATTATACCTTTAACTTGAAAAGAAAACACTACAATTCGAATCTTTAGATCGGTTTTCATTTTATTTGCTCGTTGAATACGTAGCGGGACAACAGAGCAGTCGTACGGACGCTGCGCGTCGCTTTCACACGCCCCAAACGGCCACAGCGCTTTGCCAGTCGCCTCAAAGATGGCGTCGGAAGGAAGGTTGGCACAACGTCCGACAGATGGCGGGCAAATCTGAATAAGGTCTATTGTCGTCCCAGCGGCTTAGTTCTGGCAGAAGTTTTTGAAAGGGCGTTGCAATTCAATAAACGCTGACTTGCTTTTTTTCTTGAGAGAAGCACCGACTTGGTCCCGGGCCATCTTTATGACTACGGTTGATCTTTCTGAGCATTATGCGTTGATGGCCTTCCAGCTGCTGGATACCTCATGACTGCGAGCGGCAATGTTTTGAAACCTTTTATTCTACGGTCCATGCATGCCAGTAAAAGTGCATTCCCATGTTGTTGCTGTTGATTATTTATTACAAAAAAAACTACAGCACTTTTAGCCAAATGTGTTGGGGGAAATCTGCGAAGTCAATGCGTGCCATTTCAAATCCGCGGGAATAACTCTTGGATCTACTTTTTTTAAACCACATGTTCCTGGACCTTTTTCTGTTGGGGGGCGTGGGACATTTTTCGGGGTGGCATTTATCCCGAAACCTTAGCTTCCTACCTTAGAAAGCGTCTCGGCGTCTCGTGCACCTCGAGGGCAAGCATTCAGTCAACACACGGCGGAAAGCACAGACCTTGTGCCAGAACCGAGTTTATCTAATAAATATTGGTCTCAGCTAACGGGTCTTTTATACTGCTAGAGACTCTACGTACCAGTGTGAGGACAGCAGAATCGCCAAGTCAAGGTGCTGCTTGGAGGCGATCAGGATCCTCCAGATGCGGCGTCTTGACGGCGGGTCCACGGCAGCCGTGGGTTCGTCAAGCAGCACCACGCTGGGGTTGCCCACAAAGGCCACGGCCAGGGACAGTTTACGGCGCGTGCCGCCACTGCCCACGAAAAGCACCACCAAATTCGGAAACCGTCAGTAGCTACATTTTAGCCATCACGATGCCTCAAATCTTTGTTGCCATTCATCTGAAGCTTTAGCTCAAATCGTCCTCCAGAAATGTTAAAACACTCCATGACAAAAAAAAAGAAAGAAAAGATATCGTCCGAATTTAGGGATTCCGCTTTTCAAGCCTGAAAAGTCGTATTTTTGACGTTTAACCATCGTCAATTGCGCCCGCTTTTCACTAAGCACTGAACCCTAGTACCGTTAAAGGATCATGCTTTCGCTACAATACGTGCACATAATCATGTAAAATATCATGTCATGTAAAATATCATATCATGTAAAATAAGTTCAACTTTATTAGAGACTTGTGTTTGTCCGTTCTTTCTTTTTCCTAGTCTCGGGGTGTTTCTACAATGTTCAACAAGAACCAGCTCGTTTGCGCTCTAACCTTCTGTCAGTTATAATCACTCGAGTAGGTATATACCGACAACAATTGTGTCAATCAAAGCTAGCACAAGGGAAAAGGTGTCGGCTTGTAGCGAGCTGCAGTACAGACTTACCGATAAACATACTATTACAGTATATAAGTCACAGTGGACTTCAATAAAGTCTGTTCTTCCGAGGGACGTCATGAGAGGAGAACAACATGTGCCGCTGCTTTTTCGTCTTCATCTGGATGTTTCGGTTGCTACAAACTTACTAAGCAAGAAGCTAACTGCTTGATTTTCACGAGAAGACATGGTTGTTGTTGTTCCTTCAGTAAAAGAAAACACGGTTGGTGATGTTTCTTTACTAAAAGAAAACAAGCCGTGTTTAATACTATAGTTTGTTGCGACATTCCGTGAAGCCCTGATCTTAGATATCAACTCTAAAACACACTCTGCGTTAGAAAAACCTTAAGCTCTAGAGCTATGACACAATGCCATACACATCATGTCCAGCCAGTGGTGATCCGAGACATTGGTTTTAGGGAAGGGGGCGAGCGAAGTCAACTGGCCACTTCCTGTGAACAAGAGCGCTCCCGTATTCTTCAAACAAATGTTCAAGAAAGCGAACGAAAAAATGTTGGCTGGGGGGGGGGGCGCCTCTCCCCCTCCCTCCCGCGTTTTGGATTGCTACTGACCTTGGCCCGCCTGCCCTCATAGAGCAAGGGCATCAACTCATGTTTCTGGCCCAGATGCAACAACAGCAAGGTGGATTGACATCACCTCCTTTCCTCATGCATGCATCTACAAACATCGGACAGAAACATCGACCTCCAGAAGTGGACTAAACTCACTTCTCAAGTGCTCCAGGAAAACTCGCTTCCTAAAAACCTCCTGGACTATGTCCACGAGGCCAAAGACCGGTGCCTTTATAAGACCCTTCATCCCTTCCTCGTGTAGCCGGCGTCAAGACCGTGGCGTACCTTATGTTTTTTCCAAACCCCTTCCTTTATCTTAAGACATGATCACCCTACTCATACATTGTCCCAAGCACACGGTGCCCGATGCAGACAAGATGGCGAAATTATCTGCGAAACATGTTAGCTTCACACGTATGTAACCTTCGAACATTTCTGCGGACAGTTTTCGTATGATTAATGTGACAGCACCGACCTTCAATGAAGGAATGGGCTCGAGAGAGTGTCCGCAGCCTGTCTCTTGTGCAATGTACTGGAAGTCTGACCGCCTCGTTATGCCCCGCACAAATTCGCTCGACTGATCACGCCCACCCGGTGACTGGTCCACAAACTGCAGAAAACAGCATCCCCAGCGAGAACGACGGCACTCACCTGTACGTCCCAATGGTGACGTCCGCGTACTCGAGCATGTCCACGAAGTGAAGCGTCTGGTGGATGACGACGGCCAGGTTCTGCTCACGGACGCCCCTGAGCCGCGCGAACAACGCCAGCATCTCCCGTCCCGTGAGCAGGTCCAAGGCCACGTCCGTCTGCGGACAGTAGCTGATCCGAGCCTGGTACTGGAAGCCAGGACGCCCACATCAATTGGGACACTCTAATGTCCTGTACTTCGCTCCACATTAAGTCCAACCGCAGAATCGCTGCCAACGCTGCGATTTAATTCAGCTGTTCAAACAGCGCCAATATAGCATCGCCACGGCGTTCGTCGTTCTTACGTGTTTGCTATCACCCGCTAAACCACTCCCGCACAAAATATTTTATAGCAAATTGTTCGGCAATTTTGTTGCACACGTGAATCGTTCCAGCATCACAAACTTTTGGCGATACTCTAAGTCTCAAACGCCAGACGACTACTTTCACGGCGCTCTTCTTCAGATGGTTTAGTGCATACCATGTGCACACTTCGTGGTTAATCCTAGACTGGAGAGATACTACCGATAATCGGGCTATCGAACCTGGCGACCTTCCAGAGCCTTCCATAATCTCAAGCTCCTCTCCCTCAGTGCACACAGGTGATGGAGCTCCTCCTCACCTATCCCTCTGGTCACTTGACCTCCCCGTTAAACTATCAGCGTCGATTACTTCACTCCTCCTCTGCCATTCGTCAACCAATCAGTGTCGAGCCTCACGGCCACGCTTTTATCCAGGCTTCACTTTTGGGCTTCACGAAATCCGAACACCTCGTCCAAGAACGTTTCACGTTAAAAAAGCCCAGGACCATGGCGAATTTTATGTGCGTGAATGGTTTAGCCGGTAATAGTGCACGCACATAGACAACGAGCACACTGACGAGACGCTTTTCGCGTTGCCAGATTACATCCACCGGTTCAGCTGCAGCGTTGGCTGCAGCCGAACTTAGAATGTGAAACGGAGTTTTTGAGCCAACATTTTTTGGTGGCGCCTTCTTATGGGTCCCGTCACGACAAGAATTCTCCTCGCCGTGACGTCTATAGTCGTAATCTTGAATACTTTCATCGGTTGCGAGCTACAAGTTCGGCGCTATGTGTAAAAATCAGAACGAAAGCTTGGACTCTTGTCGTTCTTAGACCAACAACGTCACAGTTGACACTCTGACACAGCGCTGATTTTGGTCGATGAAAAAAAAAACTCATATAATTCAAGATGTCACAATGAGCGTTCCAACAAGCGCGAATTGCGACCAAACGACGTTTTTAGTCGCGCACGTCGCTAAGACTCCGACTTGAGTGACAAACAGCAACAACCGACAGCGACAAACCTCAAGCACGGAAACTTATACCCATCTTAAATACTCGACTCGACGTACTGTATTTAAAATACGTTTGGTAGTATTTTGGTATCTTGCAAATACATTCTGTCTAAAGTACTTGCTGCTCTGTCTCCCTTACATTTCTCACTATCTTGTACTTAGTATCTTAAGTACATTTTTTAACCATTTGAAAAAAATTTCCCCGGAACACTTTATGGAGCTAGGGATCGTCAAACTCCAGGGCAAATCTGAACCGATTGCAAAGTTTGAGTCAAGCGACCGAACACAGAACAGGAAACAAGGCATGAGCAAAACGCAGTCTCCAAATTCCAAAAACCAAACGGATAGCCACAAATACGCCCGAATCTATGTGTCCTCTTGTGTTTTTTCTTTCTTTTTTTTTTTTTTTAAGCGAGCAAAGTGCTGGGGACGCCATCCGGATTGAACACTCTTACCAAACCTTATTTCTGAAGCTAGAGTGGTTTCGTCAGGGGAGGATTGTGACGCAAACGCTTGGTACGATCAAAATGAACCGTTTACGGAAATAGCCGTTCAGAAGGTTCTGGTATCACAATTCGCTGACACGTTTTCATGCGATTAGGGACACTCCCTCGGCCAAGAAAGCTAGATCCTTCTGGCTTTATTGAGCTGCAGTGGCCTAGAGTGGTCTTTCCCAAAGCTCCTTGTGTGCCTATAGTTCTTTTCGGCTGACCAGAGGGCGCGCCTGAGCAATACTGGTGGCGCCACGCCCTGGCGCAAAACCGCCCTCCATAGCAGTACGGTTTCGATTGAAATGGCGACGAACAAATTGAATTCTGCTGTGGCCGCGTTTCAATATTCTTGTGGCTTTCTGTCTCTATTGCAGCTTTCTGTCTCTTGAAACACGGTGATTATTATTAGAAAGGCGAACCACCGCAAGAAAGGTTGCGCCAGGCCTCTGGGGTGGAGGCGATAACCCAGACATACCAACAATTGTCATTCATATTAAAAATAGCGCAAAAGAGACAGGACAAAAAGACGAAGAAGCACACAAAACAAGCCTGTCCTGTGTGCTTCTTCGCCTTTCTGTCCCGTCTCTTTTGCGCTATTTTTAATATGAATGTCCACTACCAACTTGCCCAGCAGACCAAGCTTGAACAATTGTCGACAGCGAAGTGCGTCTCGCAAGTGCAAGACAGCGTCGCCTATGACATCGGCCTCAAGATAAAGGCTGTATTTTTTTATCGTGTCGCTCGCTCTTGCAAGTCAGAGCTACTCGGACAATGATGACGACGCTATAGTGTTCAAAATGTCTTTTCGCGCACAGCTGCGTTGTCGCGCACATTGCTTTAACTCGGACAAGCGCACTTAGAAAGTCGGAGTTACCGAGTGCTGGAAGTATGCTGCGGCGGTTTTAATTGACGCGAATGAAGCCAGTGATGCGTCATGCACTGCTAGACCGCAGCACAAGGTCAAGCTGTGCAAAAAAAAAACGAAGCGGAACGCAAGTACGGCCACAGCTCATCTGTTTCCAGGCATTTTGAGCAGGTCGAACAAAAAAATTAAGACTTTTACTACACGCCGCGACACTTTTTTTGTGTGTTTTTTCACAAGTGTACCGCTGCTGTCAAAGAGGTAAGTCAGATCGTGACTCACGCACGTGCGTCAGTACGTTTTTAGTAAAAAAGTGATCGCCTATAGACTTACATTTGAGCCATCACTCTTGTCGTCTTTTTTAGCTTTTGGTGTGACCCAGAAGGATGATTTTTAACCCAGTTGCGGGTGAGTAAATATAGGTTTTTTTATGTGATTTTTTTTCTTGTTTAAGCGTAATTATGCTTTTTGTATCTAGAGCCTCTGGACCATAAAAGGACGTTTAATATTACTACTTTCTCTCTGTGAAAAAATTGTAATCCATTTTAAATTTCAGTCATACATTTTCAGTAGAAGAACTTGATACATTTTCAGATATTTAACTTTGTAAGCGGTCCTGTCCCGGTCTTCTTTATGCTGTTTTTCTTTTATACATCTAACATTGCCAACACTTTGTAATGTGTCGACCAAGGAATGTTTTAGTGTCTAATTCTTTAGAGTTCCTTGGAAAGTAATTATACCTGTTGTAAGCTAACTACATAATTTGATTAATATATAGAAACACAGCTAGAGTACAGCCGTCAACTTTTTTCATTCGTGCTTTTGAATCAGTACGCAAATAGGGGCTACGATTATCTGCCTCATTAGAACTTATGTAATTTGCCGCTTTCTTGCTTTATCTTCTAAGCATCGGGGAAGAAAATTGGCGGGTATGCAAAGGGAGCTTAATTCTGAAATATGAAGTTGCTTTCTTTCATTTTTAAAAATGTTAACTAAATACTCGGCTTTCGTTTGTCGACCGCCACGGGGAACCATCGTAGCCACCACATTAGGGACTTATCGTAGAACGTCAGCTGCGGATTGCGGGTCCTACGGGCGCGAGCTCAGTCCGCCCTCGAACTGACGGCTCCCACAAGCAACGCAGAAATACTCTTGCATGGTCTTGCGAGTGACCTACGAGAAGTTCCCATTAACGTGACAAGAAAGCGTAGCTGCACTACTGAATCATGCAACAAGATACATAAAGAATAATTAAAACTGTCCGCCGCACAAATGGCGATTCATGCTTCTGGAGATTTTTCTTGAGTCACCTCCCAGGAACCGAATAAAACATTTCGAGAGACATATATTTACCTTTCTTTTAATACGATGCTGTGGCATTTGACAACACAGCACCTGGTGCCCTGCCCTTTTGCATTCGGTACATTAGTTTACAAAGCGCGAGGCCAGCACGACAAGCGCTTCTGCTCCTTGAACTGCTAACAAGTGTGGGCGCGCCTTGCCAAGGGAGGAGCGGCGCTGCGTATGCCCGGCGAAACTTCAACCCCACAGCCCCTATTGTAGCTTAACTTTGGCCCCCAAAATCTTTCAAAACCGTTTCTATTATCTGGGAGACTCTTGCGTAGAATGTGTCCAAAGTTCCTGCGTAATTTTTGTAAAGAGAGACCACTTGCCCTGCTCCTGCGAGTCACAAGGTCGGCGTCCTCGATGAACGCGTTGCCAGACGTGGGTATCAGGTCTCCAGCGAGCATGCGGAAGGTGGTCGTCTTGCCGGCGCCGTTCACTCCCAGCAGACCGAAGCATTCGTGTTTGCGCAGCGCAAAGGAGAGACCGCGCACAGCCTCGACGTCGCCGTAGTTCTTGCTCAGGTTGCTCACAAGCAGCGCAGCTTGGAGCTGCCAAGAGCGATGCCAACTTCAAAATTCACGATCTCCTAAAGCTCGAATTCCATCACTAATCTACAAGCCAAAAAACTGTGGGAGAGAAGGAGACAAGAGTGCGCGGGGACGCGCACTTTGGTCTCCTTAATACCTAAAGCTAGATGCCTTTTCCTCCAGAACTCGAGAACCAAACGGCGGACGCTCGCTTCCCGCGTTTTAAAACGTTTTACCCGTGCGTTGGAGACAATGGCTGCCTTTTTTTTTCACTGCCCACGTCGAATGCATTCTAAGGCGAAATTTATACGCCCGACTCCAGCGTTTCGCGTTTTAACGCGTTCAACGAGTGCAGTGAAGACAGAGGCAGCTAGGGCTTTAGGTCTGCCCACTAATCCTTCCAATCAGAGCTCGGTGTTCTGGCGTCGGGGAGCGCTCCCCTCTCCTTCTCTACCTGAGTTTCTCGCCGCATAGAAAACAGACTCTGCGCCTCTACCCCCTCCAATCGTCATCGCTGGTGAAGCCAAGCAGCGCCGCCTACCTTGCGTCAGCATCGTGAGCATTGCACGCGGCGGCGCCAAGACGGGCGCGCCGGCCGCTTTGCGGCGGCTTTCGTCGAGCTTTCGAGTGTTTGTCGCTTGGGGCTCGTCCGAGATTCATGAACGATCACGTAATGAGCAGGCCTTGTCTTCAAGGCGGCATTGGTTTCGTAGGCTGGAACCCACTAAAAAATATTGAGCCTCAGAGTAACGACCTTTCAGCCATCTTGGTGCTTAAAGTCGTTGTTGGCAGTTTTCTGATGCCTCCAGCTGAAATCGCAGAAAACATGTTTTTCCGTAGCGCCGAAATGATAAACCCCTCAGCGAAAAAAGAAAGCAATATCACCTGGAGTACCTGCAGCTGTGTTTTAAGCTTAGAAAGCCGCATTTACGAATTTCGACTATCGTCATTGGCGTCCACTCTGCGCTGAGCAACAAAATGGCGCCGCGCTTTAGACTGCAGGTGAAGGTAATGCCGATAATCTAAGCGTAGCTTTTTAGTGGCTCTGCAGGCTATGCGGAGTGCAAGTTCGTCTGCTTCTTGTGTAAGGGTTGCAGTGACGTCAGAACGCCGAGCTCTGGTTGGCTCAGATTGGAAAGATAGTGGGTAGAGCTCAAGGCAGCTAGCATTGAGGTTTATCCACTGTCTCTCCGTCATAGCCAAGCAGAGATCTGCGTTTTGAAGTCAGGACAATCCCAGCGCAAGGAGTAGACAACCTTGCCCCCCGGATTGGAACCCTAGTTGACATTATCCTCGCCGTTTTGACATTACTGCCTAGAAGATGACGCCGAACACCCCCCCCCCCCCCCCCCCCGAACCAAACGTCATCACTAGTGGATCCACATATCTTGCGTTGTAAGACGCGTGCTGCAGAGTGTCACAACGTGTGCGACCAGCCCCCAGTCGCATGTTTGCGGCTGGGGGCTGGTCGGGGAATCAATAACGATGATGTCATCGCACGCCTTGCCTCTAGCTGGAACGGGTCTAAGTCACCTGTTCGAGGTGTCCGTCGTAGAGGAGTCTCCGTACTCTGGAGCGCTCCTGAACCACCCCTCCGTGCTCCTGTCCGCCTCCTCGCGTTTGTGCCCGTCGGCTGGCCCACCGTGTTAGGTCCGAGTCAAGCAGAATGACCAGCAACAGGGCCATGGTGCCCACGATGAACATCAAGGCCACGTCACGGCCACTGCTCATTTGGTGCCAGGACAGGTACGACTTGTCCAGTATGCAGTCCTTGCACTTCTCTGGGGCACCGCAGGTAACGCGAGACATTTTTACCACGCGCGCAATACATCAAGTTTTTTATTTCAGTCTGGAATCTTTGATCACTATCGTCATCTAGGTGCATGGCAACTGTGAAAATAATTGCGGCATTCTTGAGGTAGTTTAAGGCGGAAGTTGATCATACAACAAGCGGAACGTGCGTGAGGCGTGCACGTTTTCAGTCGTTAGTACCACATGACGCTTGAAATAGATACAACGGTTGTGATATGGTTAATTTCAAAGTGTGCCCGGTCCAATCAATGTCTCGACACAATTTTGGTTATAAAGCCATTTGATGACAGAAATTTAATCAAGGGAAAGGCCTGTGAGTCACCATTCGTTTGTTTTTTTTTTAAAGTAGAACATTCTTTTGAGCAACCAGGTGGTACTGAATTTTAAAAGGGGTTTATCAGATGACGAGAGTCTTAGACACGTCGCTACCCTATTGGAAAACCCCAATATAAACAGCGTATTATGGATATTGGTAAACAATATATTTTTATTGTATTGCAATACAATATAGACAGTGTATTGGAAAACATTACATTTATTGTATTGTATTACAATAAGGATTTGTTATGGGATTCCAATATCCATAATACGCTGAAAATATTGGAATCCAATACCGTATAAACCCTTATTGGATCTCCATGTGTCGTATGGGGATCCAATAAGGGTTTATGATTCCAATATACTCAGCGTATTATGGATATTGGAATCCAATATATTATATCGGCTACCAATAAAACTATAAACGAGTGGGAATATTGCCGCGCCCAGGGCTGAGAAAGCAACGCTCAGTCACGGACCTCCAGAAAGTTCTCGTTTATTCATGTACCGCATGTAACTTTTCTCATTTATTCCTGCTTTTGTTGGTTCTTCGTGGACTAGGCGTCGGACTTGGACTGCGGGCCCTCGGAGGGGTACGCGGCAGGGGCATGCGGTACCCCGCACCTCCACCAAAATGTCACGGGTGGTGACCAAAAGAAACAATAAATACACAGAAAGAAATAGACGTTTAATGTGGCGAACTTGTGCCAAAAATAAAAGGAAATAGAAAAATAACAACAGAGCGTCGCGGGCGTCGAAGGCGGCGAAGCAGCAAGGTCGAACGCTGAGGCGAAACTGACTCGACAAGGTCGCGGGCGGCCTCTTATCTAGAGTGCGTCGCTATCTCGAAGATTCGGCGAAAGCGGCTCGAGCGTCGCGTGATCGGGCGAGAATGAACACGCACTTTCTAGAAAACAAAAGCAGGAATAAATGAGAGAAGTTACATGCGGTACATGAATAAACGAGAACTTTCTGGAGGTCCGTGACTGAGCGTTGCTTTCTCAGCCCTGGGCGCGGCACGGCAACGAAAGCACTTCCGAGATCCGGTTCAGTCGTCGCACCCAAGGCCTACACCCGGAATTCGGACCTCTGCCGCCCAAGACTAAGCAGCCAACGAGACCAACGATGGACAGCCAGTCGTCGCAGAACCCGTCCACCGCCAGCGTCGTCGTCCTGCCCGTCGCACCCCGGACTCCGACGCCTTTCCACGGGGAGATCCACGAAGACATCGAAGACTGGCTGCGACACTACGAACGTGTAGCCCGCCACAACGGATGGACGACTGAGCAGTGCCTCCACAACCTTTACTTCTCGCTTGAAGGCACTGCGAGGCACTGGTTTGAAAACCACGAAGCCTCCTTCCCCACATGGGAGTCCTGCGTCGCCGAACTCAAACGAACATTCATTAACCACCATCGTCGCCAGCGAGCAGAGGACCTGCTTCAAACAAGGGTGCAGGGCCCCAATGAAAGCCTGACCAGCTTTGTAGAGGATGTTCTGCGTCTAAGTGCCCGAGCAGACCCGGAGGCCGCTGAGGAAAAGAAACTTCGAATCCTCATGCGTGGCGTCAAGGCAGAAATTTTTGGAGGCCTGGTTCGCAATCCCCCGACGACCGTCGATGCATTTGTGAGTGAAGCCACGAACATCGAGCGCGCACTGACGGCCCGAGCAAGCCACTACCACCGACTCGCCGGCGCGCCTACTTCTCCAACCGTCGCAGCTACACTTCCGGACCTGAGCACCACCGGTGTCGACAGCCTTCGGGATATCGTCCGGGATATCGTCCGGGAAGAGCTCCGGAAGATTCTACCTGCTGCAGATCGCCCAGCCTCACTCTCACTCGCCGACGTCGTCCGAGAGGAAGTTCACCGAGCTTTCCATCCCGAGGTTGCCGTCACCGCAGCAGCACAGCAGGAGCCAGCCGTAAGCTACGCCGAAATGCTCCGCCGAGCACCATCAGCACCGCGTCCGTACATGGCGCCTCCCGGACGTGTGCTTCCAGAGCCGCAGCATTCCCGACGCCAGGAAGATCGGGCACACGTTCGTCCAGAACAAGTTGCGCCAAGGAAGACCGACGTGTGGAGGACGGCTGATCGACGCCCGTTGGGCTACCACTGCGGGGAAGCCGACCATATCTACCGACGATGCCCCTACCGCCAGCTCGGCCTACGAGGGTTCGCGCCCAACGACCCTCGACCACGTCTTGGAGAGCGACCTCGGGACATCGAGGACTACCTCCGCCGATCTTCAACTCCTGAGTCGTCTCCCCGCCGAGTATTCCGTTCGCCATCTCCCCGACGCTCGCCGTCGCCCTTCCGCCGGTCTCGCCGAGACAGCCTGTCACCCATTGCGTCCCGTCGGGAAAACTAGGCGCGGCAATGCCGGGAGGTGGTGTTGCCGAAGACGAACGATGCCAAGATCCTCCAAGATCGTCGGAGCTCTCCCACTCTAACGCCGCAACGCCCCGAAACGACGTTTCTGCAACAGTGTCGAATAACCTCAACGTTATCATCGACGGCCACGACGCGACAGCACTCGTCGACACCGGAGCGGATTACTCCGTTTTGAGTGGGAGACTCTCTCGTCGCCTTCGGAAAGTTACGACGTCGTGGGATGGACCACAGATACGAACCGCCGGCGGACACCTCATCACGCCTGTCGGCAGGTGCACTGCTCGCGTTGAGATCCATGGTGAAACCTGCCCTGTCAAGTTCGTCGTTCTGCAAGACTGTTCGAGAGACGTCATTCTCGGAATGGACTTTTTGTGTGAATACGGCGCCATCATCGACCTTGGGGAGAACAAGCTGACGCTTCGGAAACCTGTTCCCTCGGCGGAAGATCCCAAAGCGACGTTAGCTGCAGTGCGAGTCCTTACCAGCCACGTAAACCTGCCGCCGCTGTCCAGTGTCTTTGTCCCCGTCGGGACCGACGAAGCCACCTGCGGGATAGCACTGTTGGAAGGAAGCGTCCAACTTCTCCTTGGACGAGGGATTGGTATTGCAAGAGGCGTAACCGAGCTCCAGGACGGGCGTACCGTAGCCCTTGTCACCAACTTCCGGCAAGAGTCGCAGCACCTTACAAAGGGTACAGCTGTGGGCTACGTCGAGGAAATTCAGGACTCGGCCGCCATCGCCGTGATCTCAAAAGACGCCTCTCCGACGCACCACAAGGGAACCACGCCGTCAAAGCTCGACATCGACCCATCCCTCCCAGGCCCACAACGACGACAGCTGACTGACGTTCTCGCTGAGTTCAGTGAGTGCTTCGCCACATCGTCAAGGCTACGCCAAACAGCGGTTGCGAAGCATCGAATTGTTACTGATGATGACGTGCCCCCTATTCATCAGTCGCCGTACCGAGTTTCGGTGAAGGAGAGGGAAACCATCCAGAAACAAGTTCAAGAAATGCTCGACGACGATATTATTCAGCCTTCAAGCAGTCCGTGGGCCTCTCCAGTCGTGCTGGTGAAGAAGAAAGACGGAACCCTTAGGTTCTGCGTGGACTACAGGCGGCTGAACGCTGTTACAAAGAAAGATGTCTATCCGCTTCCCCGCATAGATGACACCCTCGACCGTTTACGCCACACCCGGTACTTTTCGTCGATGGACTTGAAGAGTGGCTACTGGCAGATTGAGGTCGATGAACGGGACCGCGGGAAGACTGCCTTTGTCACGCCCGATGGACTTTACGAGTTCAAGGTGATGCCCTTCGGACTCTGTACGGCGCCGGCGACTTTCCAGCGGGTCATGGATACTGTACTAACGGGACTGAAGTGGCAGAGCTGCCTCGTTTACCTGGATGACGTCGTCGTTTTTTCGCACGACTTCGACGAGCACTTGAAACGGCTTAGGGCCGTGCTCCAAGCCATCAAGACCGCAGGGCTCACACTCAAGCCAACGAAGTGCCGCTTCGCCTACGCCGAACTTAAGTTCCTTGGTCATGTCGTTAGTAGCGAAGGAGTACGCCCTGACCCCGCGAAGACATCCGCCGTAGCCGAATTCCCTCGACCATCGGACAAGAAGGCCATCCGCAGATTCCTGGGGCTGTGCGCGTACTACAGGCGCTTCGTTCAAGATTTCGCAAAAATTTCGGCGCCCCTCACACATCTTACGAAAGACGCCGTGAAGTTTCACTGGGCAGAAGAACAAGAACGGGCGTTCGACGAACTGAAACAAAGACTTCAGACACCTCCGATCCTCGGACATTTCGACCAGCACGCCGAAACCGAAATTCACACGGACGCAAGCAACTCCGGCCTTGGTGCGGTATTGGTACAGCTACAGGAAGGCACGGAGCGAGTTATTGCCTACGCAAGTCGGACACTGTCAAAAGCGGAGAAAAATTACTCCACGACGGAAAAAGAATGTCTCGCGGTTGTATGGGCGATCACAAAGTTTCGTCCGTACATATACGGGAACCCGTTCCGGGTGGTCACAGACCACCACTCGCTCTGTTGGCTTGCAAACCTCAAAGACCCTTCAGGACGCCTGGCTCGATGGAGTCTTCGACTGCAAGAATTTGACATGACCGTAGTCTACAAGTCAGGACGGAAACATAGCGACGCCGACTGCTTGTCCAGAGCCCCCGTCGAAACGCCAGACTGTACCGACGTGGATGATGACGAGTGTTTCCTAGGTGCCGTGGACACCAA